TACACACTCCTACAGCTGTGCCCCTTTACACACTCCTACAGCTGTGCCCCTTTACACACTCCTACAGCTGTGCCCCTTTACACACTCCTACAGCACTTTGCCCCTTTACACACTCCTACAGCACTGTGCCCCTTCACCCACTCATATAGTTCTGTGTCCATTTAAAACACTTGCATTCACATCATAAATAATACTGTGCATTATTGCAACCTGCTTTTGGAGAGCAGTGATGTTAGCCCTACCTACTTAAAGTGTGTTCCAATTGATAATATTAGTGTCTGGACTTTAAATAGAGTTCATCTAAAAAATATTCCTATGTATGTGTGGGTGTGTAGTCCTTTCATTGTAGGGTCAACATCGTGTGTGTGTGTGAATGTGGCTGTGTTTGTTTACAGTGCTCACTCATTTGTGAAACTGGGAGGGCACACAGGAACTGGGAGGGCACACGGGAACTGGGAGGGCACACAGGAACTGGGAGGGCACACAGGAAAAGGCGTCACCCAGTGGCAGGACAAATACCTGTTATCTGACCCAAACAGCCACCTTCTCAGTGCCCTAAGCCACTGGGGGGAGCATCCGCTTTTTAAGCAGGCTGGCCGCCGCCCACCACACAGCTGTATGACCCAGCAGGGATGGCATTTCATTTCAGAGAATCAGCTTCTGTATGGTGTGTGCATGTCCAGCAAGGCCTCATTTCCACCCAGACAGAAAGACGTTGAGTTCCTTCCAAGCCTGGTCCAGTGATGAAGCGTGTGTGGGCGATAGACAGGCCAGGTCAAGCTGTGGTCATGAGCCATCACAGCTTATCAGGGGAGAGAGGCCCTTTTTATGAGTGGATTAGACGGAGAGTAAGGCGGGAAGGGAAGGTCAATGCTGCACCCCTGTCACCAGGCAACAGGACGATCACATTTCAAAGTGCAGAACACACCCTGCTTGTTTGTGGTGGAGTGTGCATGTGAGTATGTGTGCATGTCACTATGTCATACTGTCCCATTGCTTAAGTAACTTTGCAAAGTTTTTGGATAACAAATTCTCCGAATGATCATATAATAACATGAAAAGTCTGGGGCATGTGGTGAACACTGTGCTTTGTTTGTAGGACTCCAAAGCTTATGTACTGTACTTAAGACACTTTATATCTAAAATTACACCCAGATGTAAGTTCATTTATATCTACATCATGGGGATGTCAACACTCAGTTCCTGTCCTTTATCTTCAGTCAGCTCTTTTCTGACTCCCTAAATGTCTCTTTGTGCCAGATGATGCCCCAAATGTCTCTCTGCACCAGATGATCCCCAAATGTCTCTCTGCACCAGATGATCCCCAAAATGTCTTTGCCAGATAATTCCCTATATGTCTCTCTGCATCAGATAACCCCTAAATGTTTCTCTACGCCAAATGACCCCCAAAATGTGTCTCTATGCCAGATAACTCCCTAAATGTCTCTCTGCATCAGATGATCCCCAAAATGTCTCTCTATGCTAGATAACTCCCTAAATGTTTCTCTGTGCCAGATGACCCCTAAATATTTCTCTGCGCCAGATGACCCCTTAAATGTTTCTCTGTGCCAGATGATCCCTAAATGTTTCTCTGTGCCAGATGACCCTTAAATGTTTCTCTGCGCCAGATGACCCCTAATTGTTTCTCTGTGCCAGATGATCCCTAAATGTTTCTCTGCGCCAGATGATCCCTAAATGTTTCTCTGTGCCAGATGATCCCTAAATGTTTCTCTGTGCCAGATGACCCCTAATTGTTTCTCTGTGCCAGATGACCTTTAAATGTTTCTCTGCGCCAGATGACCCCCTAATTGTTTCTCTGCGCCAGATGACCCCTAAATGTTTCTCTGCGCCAGATGATCCCTAAATGTTTCTCTGTGCCAGATGACCCCTAATTGTTTCTCTGTGCCAGATGACCTTTAAATGTTTCTCTGCGCCAGATGACCCCCTAATTGTTTCTCTGCGCCAGATGACCCCTAAATGTTTCTCTGCGCCAGATGACCCCTAAATGTTTCTCTGCGCCAGATGACCTCTTAAATGTCTCTCTGCGCCACATGACTCCTTAAATGTATCTTTTGATGTTTTTGTGGCTGTTCAGGTCGTGCTACCCTGACCCATTTGAACTCTCTGAGGGTGGACCATCTTCGCCTACAGGATGAGGGCTGGTATGAGTGCCGTATCCTGCAACTGGACAGACTTGCAGAGGACTCTCGCAATGGCTCCTGGATCTTCCTGTCTGTTGCAGGTAACAGCTTCAGGGCTATAGAGTAGATCCAAAGCATATTATAAAAATATATCAGCTTCACAATGTTCACAGTAATGTCAGGATTCTGTCAGCTTTGGTATTTCTAAAAACATCAGGTTTCACTCAACTTCAGTATCAGGGTTCTGTCAGCTTTGCTATTTTCACAGTAACACCAGGTTTCAAATAACTCCAGTCTTCATAATAATGTCAGGGGTCTTACAGCTTTAGTGTCCATAGCAATTATAGAGTTATAGGGTTTGGACCTTGTGCCCTGGTGCACACACAGTCCTGCACGAATCCAAACATGCAGATAAGCACTTTCCACTTTAAACACTGTTGAGGGAGTGGATTCAACTAGATGCCAGTGATATAATGTGACTCACCTTTAGTTACTGACCCGGATGAGGACACCAGCAAATCTCATTGTAGAAGCAGGGGTAATGCTATACTGAACACACACCGGTTTGAAATTATATCTTGTGGGGACCATTCATTTCTATGGGGAAAACTCTAATCCCAACATGACCTTAACCTTAACCCCTACCTAGTCCCAATCTTACCCATAAGTAACCAAATAAAATACAGGAATTTTACCATTTGTAGTTTTCTGATTGCATTCACAGATTTTTGTGGGGACCTGAAAAATGGTCCCCACAACGTCAAAATAACAGGTTTTTTACATTGTGGGGAACATTTGGTCCCCACAATGTAATATAAACATAATCCACATACACACTCCTTTTCAGCCTGAACATTTAACTGACTAATGCTCTAATTTTAAGCCTGAACACATTCCAGGTTAACACTTTCATTCTCTGAACACATTACAGATTGCCACTCTCATTTTCAGCCTGAACAAATTCTGGGCTAATACTCTAATTTTCAATCTAAACACATTCCAGGTTAATACTCCCATTTTCATTCTGAACACATTCCAGGTTAATACTCCCATTTTCAACCTGAACACATTCAGGTTAACACTCTGATTTTCATTATGAATACATTCCAGATTAACAGTCACATTCTCAGCCTGAACACATTCCAGATTAACACTTCTGTTTTCATAGTACATGTTCGCACTATTAACTAGTGAGTGCTTTATTTTATTTTATGGAGGTTTTCTTTAACAGGAAAAAAAATAATAATAAATAGATACATTCAAAACAAGGTAATAATTATAACCTTGTTTCAAATACATCAACAAACGGTGCCGATGTCAACACATAGAGTTTAACGCAGTGAAAACATGGCTTTTCCCATCTGCTGCAGCTCCGCCCGTGTTCATCAAGACTCCACCCCCCTCCCTGGAGGTCCTGCAGGGCGATTGGCTGTCCCTCGCTTGCAGCGGCCATGGCAACCCCACCCCAGCTGTCACCTGGAGGAAAAGCCACACGGCAGCTGATGGAAGCGCAACACAGGATGCGCCTTTAAATGTGAGTAGTCATGTGACACCACAGGAATGACATGACATCGGACACGTAAAAGACACCCATATTTGGAATTACTCTATCTGACACTATCATCGCATGTATATGATTATTATTATATCATATCATTTCCTGCAGTTCTATATACTTGGATTAAAAAAATTGTAAAAATACTGAATCATCAGTAGTGCTGTTATAACAATCGTCATGTTTTAAATATAACCAGAGTTTCTGTGGGTTATTTACAGTAGTAGTTTTAGTAGTTCGATCTGAAATGGCTCCATCTGTAATTGGGTAATCCTCACACCCCCTCCCAGGTGTCCAACGGAACCTTGTCTTTCGGGGCTGTGTCCCGGGCCATGGCCGGGGAGTACACATGCATTTTGGCCAACAACGAGGGCCAGCTGAGCCACTCCACGCACCTGAGGGTCAAAGGTAACTGGGCTGGGGTGGGACGGCTGTGACTGCCACTGATCCCCACTGCATTTCACTGTCCCTGTGTGTGAGTCACATGCATTAAGCAGGCCCACAGCTCCCCAATACTTAAGAAGGTCAGAAATGCCATCTAGTGGTCATATGGTGGAAATGCCATTTTCAGATGTAACAGAGTCTATCCATTCTTGTTCCACAAGAATTCAGGACACTCAGGGAAAAATGCAGGGGAGATCCTGGATGGGATGGGTGGATAGATTTGCTCAGAAAAAAAACATAATATTACAATAAATGAACAGAAAAAGAAAAAAAAGAAAAATTCTTCCGTTCTACAAAAAGTTACTGATACCTTGTTGGATGACTAGATGAACACCACTTCAGTTCCTGAACCTCTCCTCAGGGGCACCCCAGTCATTTCATGTGTTCAGTAAATTTCACCACCACCTCACTTAATTAACTGAAATAACACAATGAGGTATTAATTAGCCAAATAAGGTTAAAAAATCATGGATGCATTGGTTGCTGGCAATACTGGGGTGACTTTCAAAGAGGTTTTGAAATGGTTAAGCTGACACATTTTGACAGACATAATATCATAATTTTACACCAACATATTTTTTTTGATAGTGAACATCATTTGTAAAGTACTGCATGTATGTTTATATGTATGAACAAAAATTATAATGATTCCTAATGCCAAAACAGGTCCCCCAGTCATCATAACTCCACCTGAGGACACAGCTCTTAACATGTCCCAGGATGCATTGCTGCAGTGCCAAGCAGAGGCCGACCCCCCCAACATGACCTACGTATGGCTGAAGCAGGATGTGAACGTCTACCACGTTGAGTGAGTATTGTGTGCGACACTGAAGGCCTCAGCTTGGAGGAAGCTTCACTGCTGTTTGACTGCAGCTCTCAAGGGACCTAGTGACCATGACGTGCCACTTGACCATTACTCACTGGGGAACGAGTGATCAGGAGCTCAGTGCACAAGAAGGACTGGTGCTCTTTGACCATGAATTAGAAAGGAGTGATAATGAGCTCAGTGTACGTTGACTGGTGCTGTTTGACCATGAGTCACTGGGAAACGAGTGACCATGTGTTATGGTGGAGCAAGACGGAAGGGACAATCCACAGAGTGGCTTACAGACAAGGAGTTTTATTGGAAATGACAAGCTAACTAGAAACAAAGGGACAACGAGGGGTCAAAACAAAAGCAGGAAATAAAACTAGAACTGAACAGGCTTAACTAAACACGGGGAAAAACAAACACCATAAGCTACAGGGACCACAGGCAAGAAACACGCCGGAACAGTTGTAGCATATACAGGGAACACACAGGAATTAAATGCACAGCACGTACAGCAAACAAAACTAATGCAACAAGCAACTGAACAGCAAGGGAAATGCACAAATAACAAGGGTGTGGGCTATTACTAAATCAACCAAACACTAGGAATTTGGGTAACAAGGAACAGGTGAGGGTAATCATACACTAGGGATTAGGGTAACAAGGAACAGGTGAGGGTAATCATACACTAGGGATTAGGGTAACAAGGAACAGGTGAGGGTAATCATACACTAGGGATTAGGGCAAGACAGAAGATACAGGGAAAAAAGAGAACAAAATGAGGTAAACCAGAAACAGACCGATACAGAAGTAACATGAACATAAGGGAAAACTGAATTGTGCACATCTGTGTTCTGTTGTGTCGTCAGCTCTCTCAAGTCACGCGTGAAGATCTTGGTGGATGGAACCCTCCTAATACATAACCTCCTCCCAGAGGATGCTGGGAACTACACCTGCATGCCGACCAATGGACTGCTGACAGCACCCACTGCTTCTGCCTACCTCACTGTAAAGCGTAAGGAAGGGCTGTGTCCTTGCATGCCATTCTGCATTGTTAGGGAGCTTTCACATGATAAGCAGTAAGCAGTGCCCTTCCATCACTGTCTAGGGGGAGCTGAGCGTCGACTCACCGCCTCACGTCACACCACCTTGAGCGATGTGTTCTGCTCAGATTTTCTGTGTTGACACGGTGCTCAAAATTCAGCCAAATTTAACTTTCTCGCCTTCGCTGCTGACCTCTCCGAGGCACAGCCAATTAGAGAAGAGCCTTATGTGACATGAGCTGAAACCATACGGCGACATAGCAATAGAACAATGTACGAGAAGCTCACGGCTCATGTGGAGCAATTCCCCGAGCTTTATAACACAACTTTAAAATTGTACTACGATCTACAAAAAAAGATGTCTGCTTGGGAAAATGTCAGCATTAAGACAGGGAGAGACAATATCTACTCTCTGTAACATAGTAGGTATTAAATAGAAAAAACATTAACACAATTAACTGTGAATTAATAATAATGAACATAATAACAGAAAAGGAATGTTGCCAGAGGCGAGCACTTTAGGAGGCCGCTCAGAGCTTTATTCTGCAGCACGTACCAGCAATGCCGCTCTTGTACAAAGACAGAGTGGCCTTAGGGACACAGTCCTCCATCAGTGTGGCCACGCTTCTCTTCCTGTCCCTTTTTAGATCCTGCACAGACACTGTGGATGCCCAGGGAGACCTACCTCCCCACCGGAATTGGGGGGCGCATTCCCTGCCCTGTGCGAGCTGAACCCCCACTGCTTTATGTGATCTGGACTAAGGATGGGGAGCCCCTGGACTTGGAGTTGGTCAGTACCCGTGTGCCTCACAGGACACTGCAGCATTTTAGGCATAGAATATAACTGCCTGGACTCACTTGTTCAGCAGATGTTGTATGTAGCACTGCTGTTGGGCCACACTGCATTCTGAAAGAGCCCCAAGGAGCTCAGATCCTGTTTCGCCTTGTCTCAGTTCCCTGGCTGGACACTGGACTCTGAGGGCGCTGTCCTGATTGCTGCAGCCAATGACAATGCACTGGGAGTGTATGCCTGTACCCCCTATAACAGCTACGGGACGATGGGCCAATCGGATCCCACCACCACAGTCCTGCAGGCAAGCCCTCTCTGTTCATCTTCATATGGTATGGATCACGGAGTAACTAGGACTCTTAGGAATATCCTTGCTGTGGTATTTCAGAATGTATTAGACCAAAACTCAAAACCAGGTCTTCTGTACAGACGACAGTGATCCTACCCACTTCACTGACGACGCGCTGTGCTGCTATACTGTAACCTCATCTTCTGTGGGATGCCCCTTACCGCTGTGCAGACGCAGGTTCCCCAGGGAATGCCAGGTTCTGTAAACTTTGCCACAGCCTTTTCCTGCCTCCACAGGACCCCCCCACATTTTCAGTCAGCCCCCAGGAGGAGTACAGACAGGAGGTCGGCAGAGAGCTGGTCATTCCCTGCCAGGCAGATGGAGACCAATATGTGAACATAACCTGGAGGAAGGTAAGGATAGAGAGGTCTTCAACGTGATACTCAGTTCTATAGAGAGGTCTGCAACGTGATACTCGGTTCTATAGAGAGGTCTGCAACGTGATACTCGGTTCCATGGAGAGATCTGCAACGTGATACTCAGTTCTATAGAGAGGTCTGTAACGTGATACTCGGTTCTATAGAGAGGTCTGCAACGTGATACTCAGTTCTATAGAGAGGTCTGCAACGTGATACTCGGTTCCATGGAGAGGTCTGTAACGTGATGCTCGGTTCTATGGAAAGGTCTGTAACGTGATACTCAGTTCTATGGAAAGGTCTGTAACGTGATACTCAGTTCTATGGAAAGGCCTGTAACATGATACTCAGTTCTATAGAGGTCTGTAACGTGATACTCAGTTCTATGGAAAGGCCTGTAACATGATACTCAGTTCTATAGAGGTCTGTAACGTGATACTCGGTTCCATGGAGAGGTAACATGATACTCAGTTCTATATAGAGGTCTGTAACGTGATACTCGGTTCCATGGAGAGGTCTGTAACATGATACTCAGTTCTATAGAGAGGTCTGTAACGCGATACTCAGTTCTACACTGATTACTCCACAGTCTGCACTGCATACTCTCATACCCACCATCTCCATTTTGTATACTGTAATACTTTTTCAGCTTTTGATGTTTTTTTTTAAGGTCACTGTCCTTTAACTATTTGCCTCCTGCAGGTCGGATCCAGCCCCCGTTCTCCATATATTGTGGCAACCAACGGCTCCCTGGTGCTGCGACCACTCAGCAAGGACCATCAGGGGGTGTGGGAATGTAGTGCCGCTAATCGTGTGGCTGCTGTTACCACGGTGACAGAGGTCTTCGTGCTGGGTGAGAAGGTGGCACTCACAGCAACACGCAGGGGCGCTACACACTCAACACAGTACTGGACACATAGTATTACATATAGACACAATGTAACAGAGAGAACAACAGCTTGTAATAGAAAAGCTTTCTGGGAGTCAAAATCCAGCTGAAAGATATACAGAGGGTCAGTACTGATACTTGGACATGACAGATGTACATAAAGACATAAAGGGGGTTCAGTCCTAATACTGGAACACGATAGAAGTATTTAAACATACAGATGGGCAGTACTGATGCAGAGATATAACAGATGTATGAAGGTACAGAAAACATAAAGCCTTACAGAGGGTCTGTACTGACATTGAGACTGCACTTTGTTTTATTATTCACTATGTCCATCACACAGGCACCAGTCCTCATGCTGTAAGCTCAGTGTCCGTCGTTCCCGGGACTGATCGAGCCAACGTGTCCTGGGAGCCTGGCTTTGACGGCGGCTTCGTCCAGAAGTTCACTGTTTGGTCAGTCTCTGGCGTACTCTCCTTCCATGCAGGCTCACTATCTTCTGGCAACCTCTGAGGCCCTCTGTCTGTCTCGGTGTGTCTCACCCAGGCTAAAGCAGGGCTCCACAGGGAGGCAGGAGTGGACTTCACTACCCGCTTCCTCATTCACGTCCAGCTTGTTGGTCTTGGGGCTTCTGTCTGGCACCAGCTACCAGTTCAGTGTGCTGCCTCAGAACCAGATGGGAACAGGACCATTCAGCGAGATTATCACCGTCAGAACTCTGGGTGAGTATCTGTGTGCTGCCAAGTAACATAAGAACATTTTACTGAGCTGAGGAAGCCATTTGCCCAGCCTGCACATGTCAGCATGTAGCATATAGCTGATGCTACAGTTAGCATTGGCTTAATAATCACAAGCAGTACATTCCAAGCAGCTTCTTCCTTTTGTGATGAGAAATGACCCTGCTTAATGACCCTGTTCATAGACTGAGATCTTCACTGTTGAGCAGTGGGTGACCACAGTTGTTTGCAGATATGGGGTCTGAGGTATATCAGGAAGCTGAATTTGTACCTACATCATCTTTGTCACAACTGGGGATTATTTAGGAATGTATTTTAAGTGCTTACAGAACAGAAGGGCCCTTTCTCAGACTTGATCATGTGACCTGCTGCCCCCCCCCCCCGTCTCTCTCGTTCTCAGTCCCTATTGCAGATCCTCCCTTAGTGCGGGCTAAAATTCCAAACTTAGCACCACCTACATCACTCGTAGCCAATCGGAGCTCATCGGGACTTGTCCTACAATGGTCACCACCAATTCCCCAGTATCCACCAATCAGCGGCTTTGTCCTTCAAGCCCGGCATGATGAAGGGGATTGGCTAGTTCTGGAAAGGGATATCAGTCCCAATGCAAGCGAGTTGCTGGTGCAAGGATTGCTTAAGGTAATACATACAGTTCTTGTTTTAAACCAAGATGATATCATGTCCTTTGTTACGAGCCCCAGCCTAGTGGGGGTATGAATGGAGTGGAGAATGGCTGTAGGTGGAGCTGACCTTACAGCAGCACGTAACACCTTAAATTAAAAACCTAATCAGAATCTGAGAGGGTTCGTTGTACCAAGGCCCACTTGGTGATGTCCGGTTCCTTCCAGATGGTCATACTTTCTACTCTCTGCAGGACTGCAACTATGAGCTCAGGATGTTTTCTCGGCAAGATGAGCTGGTGGGGGAGCCCAGCGTGTCAGTCAACATCTCCACCAGGGGTCAGCACCATCCCACATTCTTGCTAACAGACCATTTTCCTGTCATGATAGCCACTGAGTATTTGCTAATGATCTTCCTGGGAATGTTGTAGGCTTCCCTGAAGGCTATTGTGATGTTACACAGCTGCTGTTATTCCTAGTGAATCTCCACTATAGTTTTTGAGTGGATTTTTGTGTGCTTTGATATCACCACAGGAATGGAGGCATACCCAGCAGAACACGAGGTCCGCGACCTCGTTCCAGAGCCACTGCTGGCTGGTGTAGCTGGAGGTGTGGTTTTCCTTTGTGTAGCTATTCTCTTCTCCCTGGGGATGGCTTGTGCAGTGAGAACCAGGAGGAAAAGGCGGCGGAGGAAGAGGCGGGAAGGTGTGGACTGTTAGCTGTACTACTGCTTAAAAGCTATGTGTGGTCCTCGGACAACATCTTGCCACTTTGGTCCTCTGCCAGTCTGTGTGTATTCCCGGAGTTAATTTTGCTCTTCTGTTTTGTTTTTGTTTTTCATAGATCTTCAGATAGCCCTGCACAAGAGTCAGCTTGCTGAGTAAGTAATACCTACTATTGTTTGTTCAGCCGGTAGCAATACAGTTTGTCAATTATATTTACATTTTACATATGTAGCAGACACTTTTGCCCAAAGAAACATACAAGTGAGGCAAATAGCACATTACAAACATATATTCTGTCAAGGAATCAACTAAGTATAAGGGCAACTAGGCTGAGCTTACAATGAATGCCCACCAGGTACAAGTGTAAGTAGTACTAGAGCAGGAGCTACACAAGAACTTAACGGAGCAGCAAAGGCTAACAAAGCAAGAACTTGATAAGACTATTCAAGGACCAGAAGGGCCACATAAGATCATTCAGAGAACATAAACAGGCATCAAGCTAGTAGAGGAATTCATGGAACAGATGGGTTATGAGGCGTTTCTTGAAGGTGGAGAGGGAGTATGATGATTGGGTATAGTTTGGATGTTTATTCCACTATAGGGGAACCACACAAGAGAACCATCTGGAGTGACACTTCTCACGTGGTGGGGGGGAGCTTCAAGCAGCGTTGGTTTGGAGGGGGCAAGATGAGACATAGGTTTTAGGGAGCCTTTTGATGGAGATGGCTACCTGTCCATTGATGGACCTATTAGCCAGTACCAAGGACTTGAAGTCAATGCAAGCACCAGTAGAGAACAAGTGAAGAGAGGCAAAGATGTGTGTGACATGAGAACGTTTACCCAGGCTGAATGAATACCAGGTGTGCAGCTGTGTTTTCAATTATTTGTAGTGGTTTGTCACCACATGCTGGTATATCTGCTAGTAAAGGGTTGCGATAGTCTAGACAAGCTACTTGGAATGACCTGTCAGATAGGTATGAGTCAAACTGTCTTATTTATTTTAACCTTATTTCTGTTTTCTTCCCGCTCATCTATTCAACCAGATGTGATGCTCCTCTTTCAATGGTAATAAACTGCATGTTCTATTCCTTTCCTTTTCTGTTTTTCATCCTCTGCCTTTCCTACTTCTTTCTCTGTCTCTCCATCTTTCTTTCCCTCAGGAGTAGTTTGTCCCGGCAAAGTCCAGATAGCATCCTGAAGATGAAGATGTCCCCAGGCACCATCTCCCATCCAGGTTCTTCGCCCTCCCAGTCTCACTGCTTTTCTTTCGACAAGATCACTTGTGAATTCCAAGACCACAAGCAGGACCAGCGCCTCCTCTCCAGCCCTCCACCTCGCTATACTTTTCCGCAAAGCCCCCCAATTGGATTGTGTTCCTCCGCTACCCTGGAGTCCATCTCCAGAGGTCCAGATGGCCGATTTGTTCTCCATCCCTTAGAGAATAGCCCCCCCGACACACCTGAGGATAAGCAAGATCTGAGGGCAGACTTCACACAAAGCTCTGATGCAGGCAGCAGCCATGCATCTCAGCTAGACTCTCTAAAGTCAGACTCCCCACGGTCAGAGAAGGAGCAGAGGAAAAAGACATCTCCCATTTTCACTGTGGATTTGCCTGTGCCAGTGGGTCGAGTGCGAGGCCTAGCCAGGAACTTCTCTGAACATGCACGCTTATACCAAGACCATAAGCAAGGCTTGACTGAGGGATTGCTGGAGCAGTCACACTCCGAGGGCAAAGAGGACCGCGTTCGGGATTATGTGGAGCATCTCCGGGAGGTCATCCCGGACCTGAGCAGACTGGAGAAGGACCCTGTGTACCTACCTCTGGAAAGGGATGGTCGACTCACTGCCACGAGCACTCTGGTGATGCAGATGGAGCATGAACGAGAAAGGGGAAACCTTGCCAAATGTCTGAAACTGGCACGTGAGAGGGAGGAGCTGGAGCGTGAGCTGGAGCAGTACACAAGCAGCCTGAGGGTCCGAGCCTGGCAGAGTGACTCACCGGACCAGCAGCCAATATGGAAACGACGCAATGCCACCCTTCCTCGCAAGAGTAAGCCTGCCTTTCATCTGGGAAGCACATGCAACACTCTGGGGAAGAAAGTGTCTTCTGCATACCTGCTGCAAGATGTTACTCCCCTTACCTCATTCACCAGTCTGGTTCCTGTCCAGAGCTCCATGGAGAAAGCCAGACCTTTTAAGCAGCTGCTAAGGACACAACCACAAGGGGATGACACTGATTGGGAGGGCTTATCTCAGTCCTCCTTCTCTAAGCGGACCTCTCCCTCCCACCGCTTACCTATTTGTGATACTGCTGTCCTTCTGCCTGAGTACTTCAGCAGCAGACAGAGGTGTCCAAATGAAAACTATAGCTATGGGTGGAAGGAAGAAGCTGAACACTGTGATGATAGTGCCAATACAGGCACCCAGCCTGCTGAGCTAGGACCAATTTATAGTTCCCAGCAATCAAACTTCAAACCAAAGTCTACCACAGACAGATTTAACATGGACAAAGAATCGGACTCAGGTCCACTGTGGAATCAGTTGAGCCCTTACCCAGAGCCTTCCCCTCCAAAATCAATTCTGGAATACCTGAACCTCCCAGGGTTTGTAGAGATGAGTGTTGATGAACCAGTAGCAGAATCAGACACTGCCACCTCCAAAAACTGCTGTCCTTCCTTGGACCAGGAATGTTGGACATCCCTGCAAGGTGAACCAGATGTGGTTCCGAAGGATTGGAGTACTTATACACAGGACAGTCCTATCAGAGACACAGACCAAATAGGGGATATTTTACCAAGTGGAAATTCTCAAATTTCCAAAATTCAGGGTAGTGAGTTACCCTCCAGGATATGCATATCACCAGTGTCATTTTTGAAGGAATCAGTAATATTAGATCAGTTTGGTCCTGAGAAATGTTCATCGAAAAAATCTGCCTCTCAAGAATTTCTAGACCCAAATGCTTGGATTGACTCTTTGAATCAGAGCCAAGCTTGTGCATCTCCATTCTCATCCAGGTCAGTCACTGATTTACACAGGCAGCCAGAATGTTCCACATCCACAGACCAACAATCATCAAACCACAGTCAACAGGCCACCCTTTTCTCTGATGCTTCCAAGTGGCCCACATCTTACCAGGAGGCTCTGACATCTGTGCACCACAAACTGACCCCACTCAGATCTTCAGTCTCCCTTGGCTCCTCCAGGCTAAGCACAGAGATGGGTCGACTGAGACCTCGAGATGCTGCAGTTAAGCCAACAAAAGCTTTCCGGCCAACGGGATACAGCTTACCATCACGGGGGCAAGTCTTCTTCCATCAAAGAGACTCTGAAAGTGAAGGAGAAGAGGTACGGGAGCAGGGGATGGAGCTGGAGATCGAGATTGGGGGCCGCAAAGAGGACAAGGAAGAACGGGATAGCTTTGCCAGTCAGAGTAGTGGTAGGGGCAGCTTGGGGCCCACCGGCACCCAGCCTGTCTCTCCAACGCCAACCCAACCTGGCTGTGTTGGTATCCCTGGCCAGGGAAAAGGACTTATGGAGCAGCTGGGTATGCAGCCTAAGAGCAGAGGGTGAGGCCTTTCTAACCCTAACAGACACCTGAGACACTTACCTCAGATTAGTCATTTGACTTACATATTGTAAATATATATTCATTCACACATTTAGATATTATTCTGTGTGTTATTTCCATTGTTTCCAAAATGCTGATAAACTGCAATAACACTGGCTTACACTCCTGGGAGATCACTGAATAATTTGGGATGTACAACCTTTGTTGGCATACAAGAGCAGGATGCATTCATAGTTTTGGCAACAGTTCACTGCGTTTTCACAGGAGAAGGACTTCAGGAGATGAAAGCTATGAATGGGACTCAACTGACTCCTGTCCAGAATCCATCATCACGAAGACAACAGGGCTTAGCTACATGAAGGACAGCATGGCAGATGGACAGGAGCCGAAGATGACCACCCGCCCCCATGCCGCCATGGACTCCCAGAGCAAATGTGAGTCCCTCAGCTCTTATCCTGTAACACAATACACTGTCCTCTGTAATGCCTTGTTCATTTTTCTTTCAGTAAGCAGTCGTGCAGGAACCCATGGCCCTGAAGAACATGCTTACACTCAACCAGACTACCACACCCTCCGGCGTGTCACACGGCGGCAAAACTCCTTTCCAGTGCAGAATGAGCCCAGCACTGCATCCTTTTGAGCACTGTGATTTCCTGGACAGTCTTAATTGACCTCCTTCCTGCACAACACCCTTTGCTCACTCATTTCTTGGTCTGTTTCGACATAATCCCATACTCTTTTGTGGTGTCTGCCTTTGTCCTGCTGTTTTGTTTTGTGTTGCTTCGAATCTCCATGTTAACTAAGTTTTATTTACTTTGGTTGTTTCAAAACAGGGAACAAGTGGGCCCTGTGACAACTGATTCATCTGATGGCAGAATTTAATGTCACCAGGTGGGGGTTAACTTGATAGAGCCTCAGGGTACTGACTGAATAGCTGTGCTAGAGAAAAGAGTGGAGTTAAGACCAGGGCTGTTGTACCATGGCATGCTCTGGATCTCTTCGGTTAACCCAACAGTATGGCATTCACTGATCTGGGACCCATGTAAAGTGGATACCTGTCCAAGAAAGAAGCTTTATTTAGGCAATTAAGATAAAATGGAAAGAGGGAGCAGTGTGATGGTGCACTGGTTAGCATGGTGACACAGCTCTGGGACCAGGGTTCAAGTCTTAGCCCTGGCTCTGTGTGTTACGCTTGCATGTCCTCCCTGTGTCATCATGGGGCTTCCTCTGAGTTCTCCAGGTCCTGCCCCCACAGTCCAAAGACACGTTAAAGTTACCAATCTGAGTGTGCGTTTGCATGTTGGCACCCCATCCTGGGTTAATCCCTGCCTTGCACCCGTAGCTTACAGGACAGGCTGTATGACCCTGAATAGGACAAGCAGGGATGGAGAATGGGGGGGGGCTTTTGCCAGGGGCTGTTCATCAGCACCACATAAGCAAGAGCTTTGTGCCACCCTCAAAGCCTAAGGCCCTGGGAGTTCTCTGTTCTGTAAAACCACCCAGTCATTAGCTCCCTTCCTGTTTTCCTCCTTCCTTACATCCATGTTTTTGTGCCTTGAAAAGTCCACATGGTTCGACACACAGCCTATTACGGCAAGCTGATTTTGGTTGTTGACATAAGTGTTGACATCAACTCCAGATTAATGTTTTACCACAATCCCCTTAAATTTTAATGTATACCATAGTAGATGGTAATGGATAATGTCATGTGATTATAGATGGTTCCTTTGTCTTTCTTCACTTCACTGCCACAAGCCACAGAGGTATAAGCCCCTCAGCCTGTGCCATAAAGGGCAATAAACGGGAAGAGAGTGACCTTCAAGCTGAGAGCTAAACTGTTTTTTTGCATGTTTGGAAGTAATATAAACGTCAGTGGTGGCGTGCTGGCTCACACGCTCAGGGTCTGGGGTTCGAATCCTGTCCCACAGTCCATGAGTTAGGCTAATTGGGTGTCCCAAAATTGACCAGAGTCAAGAGAATCTGGCTACAGAACACTAGGCGACCTCCACCAGACTGTGGGGCCATATATCACATGACCTCCACAACGGACCTGGACATGACATTATGGCATGACATGACCTCCACAATAGCGCTGGATATGGCTCTTAAAATATGTATTTGCTATTTTGGTGATATTAGTGCAACATCAGGAACGGATGTCATTAATCTCATTTAAATCTATGGGAACGGACGTCCAGGTGTGGAGGTCATGTGATTTCCAGCCCCACAATGGAGGCCTACCCAATGGAGGCCTACCTAATGAAGATAGCCCAGTATTCTGCAGCCAGACTCTTCTCTATAGGGTGTGCAGTAGGTGCCCTGTGATGCACTGACAGGATGTATGCCCAGCCCCATGCCTGTGACAGGATACAGCTCCCATCACCCGTGACTGAAGCAGTTGGAAAAGTTAAATAATGATTTACAAGATATATGATTCCAGATCTGTTAAGGCAATACATAATTGTAAAATGCAATACCTTGGAGTGAGACAGAGCTTGAGTGCTGCTGTTTGTGCTGAATGAATGCAGTTTCTGCAGGTCTGTATGTGAGATTGTGGGACCAAAGGCACCTGAAAAGGGAGGTTTCGCACAAACCTGGGTCAGCCACATAAGCTGGATGTCCACTACCTTCGTTAGACATTCAGACACCTTTGTTCTCTTACAAATTTGATTTCCACTTTGATGAAGCACAGCGTTTTTTTGTTTTTTTTGGGACATGCCACGGCATTTAAAAAGCAACACCAGGAGGTGGGTGATGTCAGGAAGCTCTCGTCTCCTGCTCTCGGCCCTGATGCATTAAGGACAGAACTGTGCTCTGGGCCATGCTCTCGCTGTTTCACTGGCGATGGCGGTGAGCTAAGAATCAAGTGGTACACATGACCAAAGAACTCAGAAGAAAGTGGAGCAGGGCTGCAGGAAGCCCCACTTCTCAAGACCATCCGTCCAACTTTACGCGGCAACACCGACCATGTTCAAGTGTTTCTTAAAAATCTAATGAATAAACGTCAATGTTTTGCACTGCTGTTCTAATTTAGAGTCGTGATTTTACTGTATCTTGTGTAGCTTAAGCTGATGTTTCCCAACCCAGTCCTCAGAGCCCCACAGATGCTCCATGTTTTTGCTCCTTGCCAGACAGTCCACAAGCATGGATTATCTACTGGTCCCTGAGGACTGGACTGGACTGGAAAACACTGGTTTAAGCAGGAAAATGAGGGAGGTGCCAGACCACACCAACCTTAAAACGTAACAACTGCGTGTGCTGTTTACGTGTGGCTTTGAGGTCCGTCCAAGGAACTGCATCTGTTTCTTTTAAAATGATTTATTCTGTCCTTTTGTAAAACATTCAGATTTGTATTTTGTCGAATTTGTATTTAAATGTGACTGTATGTTTTATGAAACTTTTATAAAAGAACATGTAAAGCATTGCTAGGATGGATTTTAAAAAACATCTTACATTTGTGACAGTGACAGTTTGATACTGAACCCAGCTTTGTTTTAGACAAACATTCATTTTGTACAAACTGGGAAAACATACTGTTGTGGCACGCTCGTGATTTCCAAGAGACTGAAATAAACTCGATGTTATGATACAAATGTGGCAAAAGGCATCAGGTCATTGTGAGTCACTGAAAGACGGCAAAAGTAAATGCTTTAAGACCTGTATAACATATTGACTGTATACTATGTTACCATGACTGTGTTCCTTTATATCTTTATAGAATCAGCGGGAGCCATATAGACTGACACAAGGGTGACAAGTGTGGAAATCGAGGATGGATTTCAAATGATAAAAAAAAATCCCAATAATAAAGTTCGGTGCAGCCTGCAATGTATCCTCAGGACCCTGTAGGAAAACAAGGGAAACAGAGTATAGTACCTACAGATGGTAATCATGTGCGAAATCGATTCAGGACCAACAGAAGGAAGAAGAAAAAAAATCTGAACATAAAATCAAGAAAGGGTGTAATGTTGTGTCATGTAACACACAGCTAATGCTCTTTGTGGGGAACAGCACTCACATACGGCATCAAGAGATGATCACTGCTAATGGCAAAGAAGAGCTTGGGGTACCATCTGACATTTCTCCAGTTATGATACAGAAGGTCCAAAACTGTTTGAAATCTTTGGCTAGAACCTCCAAGTAAATATTTTATTACTATATAAAAATAAACGACAACACCAATAATAATAATTATTATTACTGATTAACTGTTTTGTACAATGTTTACTGTAATTTTTAACCAAACAATGTCCTGATATTGGAAATGCTACCATTCAAACACTTAACAAGCAATGTATTGATAACTAGTTTTTGGCTACAAAACTGCCACTGAAGAGTAGATTTACTTACATCTGTGTCTCTTTAAATCTGACTGAGTGAAGTTCCTTCCTCACTGCGTAGTGGTTAGGCGTCTCTCCTTGTGTTTTTGCTGGTGTTTTTCTATCTTTCGTAATTGACCTGTGTCCTCCTACGTCTCTTTCTTGTAGGAGTCCTTTGGTGAGATGTTAGGTGTGCTTGTTGAGTGAAGCTCTTCCATACTGGGAACACTTGCAGGGTCTCTCCCCTGTGCGAGATCTCTGGTGTGTCTTTAGGGCTCCTACTTGGCTGAAGTTCTTCCCACATTGTGAGCAACGGTAGGGCCTCTCCCCTGTGTGAGTCTGTTTGTGCATCTTTAGGGCTCTTACTTGACCAAACCTCTCCCCATGCTGAATAGTGACGTAGCGTCTCTTTCTTCTATGAGTCTGTTGGTGAGACTTTAAGTGTGCTTGTTGAATGAAGCTCTTCTCACACTCAGAGCACTTGTAGGGTCGCTCACCTGTGTGAGTTCTGTGGTGTGTCTGTAGGGCTCCTACTTGACTGAAGCTCTTGCCACACTGGGAGCAGTGGTAGGGTCTCTCTCCTGTGTGAGTTCTCTGGTGTGTCTGTAGGGCTCCTACTTGACTGAAGCTCTTCCCACATTGCGAGCAATGGTAGGATTTCTCCCCTGTGTGAATCCGCTCATGTGCCTTTAGGGAACCTACTTGACTGAATTTCTTCCCACAGTAGGAGCACTGGTAGGGTCTCTCCCCCGTGTGAATCCGCTCATGTACCTTTAGGGATCCTAACTGACTGAATTTCTTCCCACAGTGGGAGCACTGGTAGGGTCTCTCCCCCGTGTGAATCCGCTGATGTGCCTTTAGAGTTCCTACTTGACTGAAGCTCTTCCCACACTGGGAGCACTGGAAGAGCTTCTCGCCATGAATTTTCTGGTGCTTCTTTAGTTCTTCAACACATGTGAACCTGTAACCACACTGTGAGCAGAGGTGGGGATTCTCTTTTAAGTGACCTTGTTGGTGTGTTTTTAGGTCTTTGAACCAAATGAAGCTCATCCCACACTGGGAACAATAATAGGACTTCTCCGTTCCATGAGTACGCATATGATTTTTTAAGATGCCTGACCGAGTGAAATTTTTCCCACAATGTGAGCAGTGATGGGGTTTCTCCCCTGTATGAATCCGCTGGTGCACCTTTAGGCTTCCTAACTGAGTGAAACTTTTTCCACACTGGGAGCACTGGTAGGGCCTCTCCCCCATGTGAATCTGCTGGTGTCTTCTTAGTTCTTCTAAATGACTGAAGCTCTTCCCACAATGGGAGCAGCAGTGAACTTTCAGTAGGACACCGGGGCCAAACTCCTCAGGGTGGGATTTCCTGATGTGTCTGTAGACGTAGGCCTCTGACGTGTAGGACATGGGACAGTGCCAACAGGGGAACCTTTTCACTCTCTTCCCCAGCATGAGAGCTTGGAATGAATAATGAGGCATGGAGAAGAGCACATAGGAAGACAGGTTTGGAACTGAGTAATGGGAACAAAAGTGACAGATTCAGGAAAAATTAAGTACATAGCAGCAGAGACTAAAGGTGGCCGCATATTTCAAACAACGCCTGGACCAAACAAAATCGAACACGCCATCTCCTTCTTCATTCTATGTCATGCCAAAACACTAGAGCACACAGAAACATATGCTTATATGCAATTTTTACCCATGAATCAGCACATCTTTAAAATCTCAACTTGACATGTCATATAAATGTGGACAACTTTGCCCAAGTCCATCAAGTCCTCCTTCAAAAGGCATTCATGGTTGAAAAGCCTTTTGTTTTTACTTGAAGAACATCTCAGGGTACTAGTGATGCAAGAGACCATATGTTTTGTGTGGCCATTTGTGGTCAATAGGTATGATCAGAACAAATAATAAAAAAAGGTTTGCCACCGGGACCATGTGCTGAAATAGTGATAACTACAGTGATTACTGCACATGCATCGTTCTGTTGCTAAAACAACACGGATTCTGTTGATTTTGGTTGAAGTATGCAGTCAACATTAAGAGCAAGAATTCAATGACATAGGAACGTGATTGGCCATGCTCCACTGCCTTGTCCAACAGGACAGGTCAGGCCAGCTGTCAGTCATCCAGCTGCTCCTTGGTCCCTCCCACTGTTCTCTTTTTTTTTTTTTGCTCATTGGTCAGGGGAAAAGCAGCAGAAAGTCAGAAAGAAGATGATCAGATTGAAAACAAACATAGCTAGTGAATTCAAAGAAAGAAAGGTTGACTGAGAAAGTCTGGAAATACCGGCATTTATGCAATTCCTCTCTACGGGATTATAAAGACTCCCAGATTGCTGCAAACTAAAATAAAATTTGTTGTTAACTAATACCCTATACCTGTGTATGTCCTTGTGTCAGCATTATTATATTTTTGATTTTTTAATGTAGGTTTTATGTTATTTTCATATTTCGTTTGAAATCCAGTTTTAGTTTCAATAGTTTTTATACATTTTAGGTTTTCTATATTAGGACTTCAGTATTAGGTTTTGGTAATTTTATTTCTAGGGAAGTTGTAGGACTCTGCTAGCTACTATAAAATGTCGATCTAGTGCTGTTGGCAATTTCTGTGGTTCAAGTGCCTTACATGACAGGCGCAAAGACAAATCATTATTTTATTCAAATAGGATTTTAAAACAGCAACAGAAAATATTTCACATTAGTGTTTATCATTTTTGTAGCTTATTTCAGTATATAAAAATATTTTCATTAACGAATAACCCTGTCTTTGTTTAGTTTTAATAAAATTCATATTTTTAATATAACGTGACGTTAGAGCAGCTTTGCTCTACAGCACTACCCCACGCCGGGTATCACAGACAGCACTACCCCACGCCGGGTATCACAGACAGCACTACCCCACGCCGGGTATCACAGACAGCACT